ACGGCAGCGGCGGCCCATTCGAACGACGAGTGTCCAGTGGGCGTATTGTGCATGTTGGAGCCCCGTTTTGAAGAGGGGCCGCTTCGCACCAACCCTGGAAGCATTAGAAATTACAATGGTCATAAAATCGAAATGAGTGGCAAAACGATGCCTACATCAATGTTTTGATGAGGAGCCGCCCCCCATCCGTAAGCTTCGGGCCGTAACATTTGGGAAGCCTCAAGCGAGATCCCCAATGTGAAGGAGCCACCCTCCATACGAGCGACTTTTGCAGATTGCAGTTTAGGAGAGGAAATCGGAAAAAGACTCGAGAGCCCCAGTTTCAGAAGAACCGAACAACTCTGTCGGTGAACATTTTGTAGAGATCAGAAGACGGCCGCGCATGGCGTCCAGAAGCTCAAGCGAGAGCACCATATTGAAATGGAACCGCCCTCAACCCATGCAACTGCAGCAGACTTGCAATACGGATGCGCGCGGCGCTAGGGCGAGAGCCTCCGCTTGAAACTTGAGCACGATCAATCCAGCCAGAAGTTGTGAGGAAGTCTCAATTGAAACGCCCCGCCTGCCCTGCCTGACTCGCCTGGTGGCGCGGCGCGGCGCGGAGTTGTTCTTTGTGGGGCAGGGGTAATGGGGGAAGACGAAAAGGCGGAGAAGGATAGATGGGAGGATCAGGAGGCGGAAAGAGGAGGTTAGAGGATGGAGGCTTAGGACTGATGAGAAAGAGGAGGAGAGGAGGAGGAGGAGGAGGAGGAGGACCATCACGGAAGAGGAGAAGATGGAGCGAGGGGCAGGAAGAGGAGGAGGAGGAGGAGGGGATAAGAAAAAGGGCGGAATGGGAAAGGGGTTGGAGGAGGGGGCGATGAGAAAGGGAGGATTGACGAAGAGGAGGAGGAGGAGGAGGAGGAGGAGGAGGAGGAGGAAGGAAGGTGAAGAAGGACGGACGGAGGAGGAGGAGAGGGAGGAGGAAGGAGCAGCAGCAGCGGCAATGGGAGAAAAGAGGCCTCGGAGCCGCCCGTCGCCAGGCCCCCCCCCTGCGAGCCCCCCAGGGTGCCGATACTACGAGGTGGACTTCGACGACGCCGTGGCGCGGAACGGGGCGGGCGCGCAACGTGCACGACGCATTGTCGTTGTCGCCGTCGTCGTCGTCGCCGTCGTCGCCCCAGAAAGACTCCTGAAGAACCCCACCCCCCCGCCAGGAAAGGGGCTCTCCAGAGGTCTTACAGAGGCCTGCGGGAGGCCTTCGGAGGGGGGGTGAGGGAGGCAGGGAGGGGGGCAGGAGGCAATACGGTCCAGATTTGTTGCTTAGCGTGTCGCGCCGCCAGTTTTGGCCCACCACGCTTCGGCGCGACACGCTCACCACGTCCCGGTCCCCAGGCGTCAACGTACCCAGCTTTTCCCAGCACCCCTGCCCCTCGAGGCAGAGCGACATGGGGTCCTCTTGCAGGGTTTTGCGTGTCGCCAGGGCCGCCGCCGAGACACTCTAAGCAAAAGCTTCTGACCGTAACACCCCGTGCCAGAAGCTTAACCCCACCCTGTCCCACCGTCTCAGCGGGGGGGGCATCATGAGCTCCACTGGGCATGATGATGCCACCGGATACGCTCGGTAATTTGCATTTTCTGCACCATTTTTGCCACGTGCGAGTCGGAGTAGGTTTGGGCGCTCGCAGCTCCTGCGAGGAGTTCTGCTTGGGACGAGAACCAGGTTAGGCCCGTGACTCTCTCGTTCCCCTGCCCACCCCTGGCGACGCGCCGAGGGGTGCAGTGAGAGGGGGGGGGGCAGGCCTTCTCGAGAGGCGGCAGGGCCTCTCAGCAGGCCTCCTGCCCTCTGGCATGCGCCCTGCGGCTTCGGAGAGGGCCCAGGCAGCCCCTCCGAAGGCTGGAGGCCCTGTGAGCCTTCTGAGAAGGCCCGCCCCCTCTGCCTTCCCCCCTGGAAGGGGAGGGAAGGGAGGGAGGGGAGGGGAAGGGAGGGAGGGAAGGGGAGAGGGGCACGCTAGGTGCGCTAGCGTCACATCGGACGTCCTACCCCTCCCTCCCATCCCTTACAATGGCGTAGATCTCCGATCAATCGCACAGTCGGACGCTCCTCCTCGCCTCCCCCCGCCTCCGCTCCCCCCCTGCAGGCCCTGGCCCCGAGAGCCTCTGCTGCCGTCCGGCGCCAGCTGCTCCTCGAGGGGCTGGGCGCGCCGCAGGTCCACCGAGATCTCGGCGGCTCTTGGGGGGGGGGTTGGGGTCCTCCCGGGGCCGAGGGCGTCCCGGGAAGGAGGAGGAGGAGGAGGAAGAGGGGGGAAAGGAGTAGCGGGGATGCGGGAGGGCGGGAGGGGAAGGGGAGGGGGAGGAGAAGGGAGGAGGGCGGGAGGGAGGGGCAAGGTCTACGGAGCTTCTCCACGGTCTCTGGTGCTTGCCTGAGTTCATCGGTGGCTCCAGGGGGTGCATGGATACCTGCTGGAAGATCTCCTTCGAGGCGTATGGCCTCCGTGTGGGTCTTCGCGCTGGTCGGGCCGTGCTGTTCGATGATCTTTTGAGCGGGTGTTGGCCCAACGTGTGCTTACCCGTTCCTTCTCCGCCTCCTCCTCCTCCTCCTCCTCCTCTCCTCCTCCTCCTCCTCCTCCTCCTCCTCCTCCTCTCCTCCTCTCCTCCTCCTCCTCCTCCTCCTCCTCCTCCTCCTCCTCCTCCTCCTCCTCCTCCTCTCCTCCCTCCTCCCCTCCCTCCCTCCCCCTCCCCCTCCTCCCTCCTCTCCCCTCCCGTCCGAGGAAGCGGGCCCTCATCGACTCCGACGAGCGGCTCAGGCGCCCCCCCCCCTTCGCGGCCGCGCGCCGGGAGCTCGAGACCCCATGTCTGGCCGCCGGGGGGAGCAGCACACACAAGATCTCCCACTCGCTGCCGTGTTCTGGGGTGCTCTCGGCACGCACCCGGGCCTCCACTGCACCATTGGAGGATTCAAGGCGGAGGTTGTTCGCCGTTTTCGGCCTCTGGGGGCCCTCGCCGGGCACTGGGGCCGTCAGAAAAGTACTCAGGATGAGAAGCCCGCCCTGGTGGAGGGCTCCGGACTTCCAGGCACCCCGGATTGAGGCAACAAAAGAATCGGATTTTTGGGCACGTGACCGAACATTTGGGCCAGTCTTGCGGGCCTCCAGGTCCTTCTCGGGGCTCGGGGCCGCGCTGGGAGGTGCTGGAGGCCGTCTGCGGAAGGTATTCTGAGCGGCGGCGGCGGCGGCGTCGTCGTCATCGTCGTCGTCGTCGTCGCTGCCTGGGAGGGGTTGGGCCGCCCTGGAGCTGTCTTGGGGCCGCCTTTGGGGGCGCACTCGGTGGGGAGGGGCAAAGGGCCGCGCGCAGCGCCTCGAGCGCCACAGCCCCGCGTTCAAGCGCGGCCCGCCTGAGGCCACGCCCTTCGTTCCGAGAGCAGCGGCGTGTGCCACTGTGGCGTGGGCGCGGCGTCGAACCGATAAGCAGGCAGAGCGCCTCGGGCGACGAGATCTGCGTCTTACCCTTGGTGAGATCCCCCTGTGCAAAAGTCCAGCCTGCATCATGCGCCTGTCAGAGGGGGAGGGGAGTGGAAGGAGGCAGGGCTTCTCGGAAGCCCTCCCGCCTTCTGAGGAGCCCCGCCGCCTTCCGAGCAGGCCTGCTCCCATCTGACTCCCCCCCAGGCGCGCCGCCGAGTTTGTCACTTGGGCGGCGGGTTGTCAGTGTCGACCGCATAACCCAGTCTGCCACAACCCTCGCATTCCGCCCTCTGCCCTCCCTCTCTCAAGAGCCATGGCATGCAAACGGAGGCGCCTGGTGTCGACCGATGACTCCAGGGACGCCGCGCACTTTGTCGCCGTGGGCGCCGACCTGCGCGACCTGCCTGCGGTTGAGGAGGGGCCGCTGGGAAGCGAGAGGGAGGCGGCGGCGTGAGAAAGGGTCTTGCTCTGCGAGTGGAGAGGGCACACGGGGCAGAAGTGGACTCCTCCTGGCTTCCCCCCTCAGCCCTCCCCCTCCGCCCACAACCAGCACGGGGGCTGCGGCGAAGTGTCGCCAGCGACAGCGCTTCAGGGAACGGACCAGAGCGATGAAGTGCACCGACGAGACACGGCAAGGAGGGGGTGGGGGGGTGAAGGGGGTGGAGGGAGGGGAGGGGGTCAGGTACGACTCCGTTCCGGGGGCCTCCTCCTCCTCCTCCTCGTCCTCCTCCTCCTCCTCCTCCTCCCCCTCCTCCTCCTCCTCCCCCTCCTCCTCGTCGTCCTCCTCCTCCTCTTCCTCCTCCTCCCGTCCTCCTCCTTCCTCCTCCTCCTCCTCCTCCTCCTCCTCCTCCTCCTCCTCCTCCTCCTCCTCCTCCTCCTCCTCCTCCTCCCCCTCCTCCTCCTCCCCCTCCTCGCAAGAGCAGGGTGGCCTCATCGCTTCTGCTCCCGCTCGCAGGGCTGGGCCGCCCGGCCGTCGTCGGCCCCGGCGGGGGTGGTGGGGTGCGCGAGGCGGCGCTGGCCGCCGCGGCGCCGCCGCTGGACGTCCAGCGGCCCACGCTGGTGCTCGCCGAGGTCTCCCCTTGGGCCGCTGCGGCCGCCGCTCCGCCCCCCCCCCGCGCGGGCAGCGGCAAGGGGGGTCACCACCTCCTCCAGGAGATCGGGGATCGAGGAGGAGAGGGGGTCGAGGATCGAGGAGGCCTGGGGCGCTCCGGGGCGTCCTTGGAAAGCCTGGGGTGGTCTGGGTGGTCCAGAAGGGTGTCCGCTTCCTGCAGGAGCTGGCGATCCCCTGGTGTTGACACCCTTGGGCGCTGACTGGCCCTGAGGCAGCGCCGTCCCCTTCACATCCTCGCGTCAGGGGCCCCTTTGCCGAGCCCCAGGGCCGTCGAAACACGACTCTGAACAAAAAAAACGTCTCCTGGGAAGCCGCGATGCGTCAACAACAACCAAACAACAACAAAAAAGCAACAACAATAACAGACAACAAAACAAAAAAAAAAAAAAAAAAAAAATGTTTTTTCTCAACCATCCTGTGGTGTTGGGTCCTCGTTTTGAAGAGACGGTGCCCCGCGTTTCTCTCCTCCTCCTCCTCCCCCCCCTCCCTCCTCCCATCATCATCATCATCATCATCATCCTCATCATCATCATCATCATCATCATCATCATCATCATCATCATCATCATCACCACCACCACCACCGATTTCGGCACACCCCTCACACGCTTCGTGGCCCCATAGGGAGCTCCACCGAAGCCCCCAGTGGCAGGGTTCGCATGCCTCCCCACCACCCATTTCGGCACACCCCTCACACGTTTCGTGGCCCCATAGGGAGCTGCACCGAAGGCCCCAGTGGCAGGGTTCGCATGCCTCCCCACCACCAATTTCGGCACACCCCTCACACGAGTGGCAGGGTTCGCATGCCTCCTCACCACCCATTTCGGCACACCCCTCACACGTTTCGTGGCCCCATAGGGAGCTCCACCGAAGGCCCCAGTGGCAGGGTTCGCATGCCTCCCCACCACCCATGTCGGCACACCCCTCTCACGTTTCGTGGCCCCATAGGGAGCTCCACCGAAGGCCCCAGTGGCAGGGTCCGCATGCCTCCCCACCACCCATTTCGGCACACCCCTCACACGTTTCGTGGCCCCATAGGGAGCTCCACCGAAGGCCCCAGTGGCCTGGTTCGTATGCCTCCCCAACACCCATGTCGGCACATCCCTCACACGTTTCGTGGCCCCATGGGGAATTCCACTGAAGGCCCCAGTGACTGTTTTCGCATGCGCCCCCACACCCATTTCGGCACACCCTTCACACGTTTCGTGGCACCATAGGGAGCTCCACCGAATGCCCCAGTGGCTGCGTTCGCATGCCGCCCCCACACCAATTTCGGCACACCCCTCACACGCTTCGTGGCCCCACAGGGAGCTCCACCGAAGGCCCCAGTGGCTGCGTTCGCATGCCGCCCCCACACCAACTTCGGTGCACCCCTCACACGTTTCGTGGCCCCATAAGGAGCTGCACCGAAGGCCCCAGTGGCAACGTTCGCATGCCTCCCCCACACCCATTTCGGCACACCCCTCAAACGGTTCGTGGCCCCATAGGGAGATCCACCGAAGACGGTACTCACACCAGCATTATTCACAATTGCATATGGTTGGGTCCTTCGCCAGGCTATTTTTTTCAGAATTTTGTTTTCCGACGGACCCAACCATATGCAGCTGCGAGTACCGCACGGATATGAGACGAAGGAGGGGGCACGCAAACTAGGCCCCTCTTCTCATAGACACCGCGCCACTGGGGCCTTCGGTGGAGCTCCCTATGGGGCCACGAAACGTGTGAGGGGTGTGCCGAAATGGGTGGTGGGGAGGCATGCGAACCCTGCCACTGGGGCCTTCGGTGGAGCTCCCTATGGGGCCACGAAACGTGTGAGGGGTGTGCCGAAATTTGTGGTGGGGAGGCATGCGAACCCTGCCACTGGGGCCTTCGGTGGAGCTCCCTATGGGGCCACGAAACGTGTGAGGGGTGTGCCGAAATGGGTGGTGGGGAGCACTGGGCCTTCGGTGGAGCTCCCTATGGGGCCACGAACGTTGAGTGGATGTGCCGAAATGGGTGGTGGAGGCTGCGAACGCAGCCACTGGAGCCTTCGGTGAGCTCCCTACTGGGGCCACGAAAGTGTTATGGTTTGCCGAAATGGTGGTGGGGAGGCATGCGAACGCAGCCACTGGGGCCTCCGGTGGAGCTCCCTATGGGGCCACGAAACGTGTGAGGGGTGTGCCGAAATGGGTGGTGGGGAGGCATGCGAACGCACCCAGTGGGGCCTTCGGTGGAGCTCCCTATGGGGCCACGAAACGTGTGAGGGGTGTGCCGAAATGGGTGGTGGGGAGGCGTGCGAACGCAGCCACTGGGGCCTTCGGTGGAGTTCCCTATGGGGCCACGAAACGTGTGAGGGGTGTGCCGAAATGGGTGGTGGGGAGGCATGCGAACGCAGCCATGGGGCCCTTCGTGGAGCTCCATACTGGTCCACGAACCGTTGTGAGGGGTGTGCCGAAATGGGTGGTGGGGAGGCATGCGAACGCAGCCACTGGGGCCTTCGGTGGAGCTCCCTATGGGGCCACGAAACGTGTGAGGGGTGTGCCGAATGGGTGGTGGGGAGGCATGCGAAAGCAGCCACTGGGGCCTTCGGTGGAGCTCCCTATGGGGCCACGAAACGTGTGAGGGTTTGCCGAATTGGGTGGTGGGGAGGGCATGTCCGAACGCGCCACTGGGGGCCTTCGGTGGGGGGGAGGAGAGCGGGAGGTGAAGCCGCCTTCGGGGCCACGAAACGTGTGAGGGTGTGCAGACAATGGACAGGACTAGGGCATGCGAACGCCCCCGGGCGGCTACAGTGGGGCCTTCGGTGGAGCTCCCTATGGGGCACGAAACTTGTGAGGTGGTGTGCCGACATGGTGGTGGGGAGGGTCATGCGAAAACGCACCCAGTGGGGCCTTCTATGGGGCACGAAACGTGTGAGGGGTGTGCCGAAATGGGTGGTGGGGAGGCCTTCGGTGGAGCTCCCTATGGGGCCACGAAACGTGTGAGGGGTGTGCCGAAATGGGTGGTGGGGAGGCATGCGAACGCAGCCACTGGGGCCTTCGGTGGAGCTCCCTATGGGGCCACGAAACGTGTGAGGGGTGTGCCGAAATGGGTGGTGGGGAGGCATGCGAACGCAGCCATTGGGGCCTTCGGTGGAGCTGCTTATGGGGCCACGAAACGTGTGAGGGGTGTGCCGAAATGGGTGGTGGGGAGGCATGCGAACGCAGCCAGTGGGGCCTTCGGTGGAGCTGCCTATGGGGCCACGAAACGTGTGAGGGGTGTGCCGAAATGGGTGGTGGGGAGGCATGCGAACGCAGGAGGGAGGAGGGCGAGGAGATGGAGGAAGAAGGAACGCGGGGACCGTTTCTTCAAAACGAGGACCCAACACCACAGGATGGTTTTGGGGGGGAAACAAAAAAAAATGCGTGGGGTGTCTGGGCAGGGGGAGGTCACCACTACAGGGGTCGCCAGCTCACCCTGAGGATCGAGGGTCGAGGAAGCCTTTTGTGACGACCTTGGGAGTGTTGAGAGGTTCTTGGGATGTTGGGGGTTCCTGATGGCTCCTCCTCCTCCTCTTCCTCCCCCTCCTCCTCCTCCTCCTCCTCCTCCTCCTCCTCCTCCTCCTCCTCCTCCTCCTCCTCCTCCTCCTCCTCCTCCTTGAGGAGGTGGCGACTCCCCTCTAGTGGCGACCCTACCTTGGCACTGCCTGCTCCTCGTGTCCATGTCCTTTTGCGCTCCAGCATCTGCCGCCCCCCCCCCGCATCCAGCACCGCGCGAGATCTCTCGACGATCGGTTTCTCAGAACGCCGCCGAAGAGCGGCCCAGTTGAGGAGAAAAGGGCCCTTAGGGTGCGAGAGCTCCTGGGGCCCACGTCACGAAAGAGCTCTGACGACGGAAGCCAGGGTGCGTGCCACACTGACCGCCGCCTGGAGTCGGCCCAGGAGGGCCAAGGCGGGACGACGTCCAGGAGAGGGCCCCTCGCCAGGGGCCAGCAGGGGTGTCACATCAGAGATTCGGCTGCGCGTACGAGTGGCCCTTCGCCAGAGTGACTTTGGGTGTGGACCCGTGGGGTCCCCCCAGCGCTGGCTTGCGCCCCAGGGTTTGCCCCCCCCTCCCCCTCCCCGCGAAGCCCTCCACAGCCGCGCACGAAAGGCCGCTCTTGCTCAGGGTCGCTCCAGCGTGTAGCCCCACGTTCCCTTCCCCTCGGAGTCGGAGTCGGAGCGTTTGCTTTGTTTCGGCGCTTGCGCGGGCATGGCGCCCCTTGGGTTCCGTCGTGGCTTCCAGAGGGAGCACGAGAGGCAAGTCGAGGCGAACGCTCACGGCCACGCGAGGAAGGAAAACGCAGGGCGGGGAGTGGGAGGCAGGGGAGACGCTCCTCCTCCCCCGCCTGCTCCTCCTCCTTCGGCTCCCCTTCCGTCCCCCCCTCCTCAAGCCTCCCTCGCCTGCGCCTGCCCCCGCCTCCGCCTTCGACCTCCTCCCCCCCTCTGCTTCCTCCCCATGCTCCCGCTCCTCCTGCTGCTTGACCTCTTCGTCCTGCCGCCCGTCCTGCGCTTCTGGGCCGGCGGCCCCACCCCCCCTCGTCGCTGCGGCTGGAGGAGCCTCGAGATCCTGGTCGGAATATACACTGCTCATGTCTAAGTCTTCGAGCGCTCTCTCTGTTTCTTTGGGAGGGCCAGGATCCTTCCATTCCTAACTGTCCTATACGGGGCCTCTTCCTGGCCACTAGGGGGCCAGGAGCAACTGGAAACGAGCTCACTCAGAACTGGGCACGAGTAGACATGAACGACGTGTACGCTCCAACAGGGGTTTCCTGGGGCGATCCCGAGGAGGATGGGGGATGAGGAGTAAGAGACAGAGGACCAACGTAGACTTGTAGCATCAGTCAGCGAGCGGAGAACGGTATAAAATAACTTTTTTTGCCGTCGGGGGCGCCTGTCCCTGGGCGGCTGGAAAGTTTATACCCCTACGGTGCCACCGTAAGGGTATAAGCTTTCCAGCCGCC